CTTGGCACTACGTAGAGAATACTAAAGTCCGTCTTTTCACAGTGCTGTCCAGTGTAACCGGATTCACATCTGAAAAGGCAGGAGGGAAGGAATTTCTATGAGAATTACAAATTTCAATAATTTCAGGTTTTAAAATTAAAAGGTACAAAAATGATATATTTTAATAGGCATAGAAAATCAGGCACCCTCCCACTACTTAAAAAAAAAATTGCCATTTGTGGATTTCCTTACACTTTTTAATATATCTATTTTACGTGGTGCCTTCCTCCCCCCATCATTATATCACATTAATTTAAAAATAAATAATATTTCACTCAGTGACTATAACAGAGCTAACTTATCTATTTCTTGTTCTAAGACATGTCAGTTATTTTCCATTTTTCACAATTATAAATTAGGTGTGGTGAACATCTTGGTTGAATGTATACCTTTGTATATTAGTGTTATTCTTTAGGCTACTTAAAAATGGGATTATTGAATAAATAGGTATAAACATTTACAGTTCTTTGAACATAGCACCAAATTATAGTCAAGACACTTTTCAATGTAAATAATATCATCACTTAAGATGCAGGCAGGAGATAAGTTATTAATAATAAAAATGAAGACTAGCAGTGGAGTAGTTGCTAATCTTAGAAATTACCTAATTCCAATTAAAAAATAAATAAAAAGGCAACAAGATCGTGATGATGATAATATGACAGGAGGAAACATTTAAGATAGTTAACAGAAAATTTACAATGTTAGCTGACAGAAGTAAAATGCATGAATTAGGCAGCCTTCAGTTGGAAATGATTAATAAAACATCTGGAGCGTATCGACAGTGTATTTATTCATGTCCCACACTTCATTACAAAAAATAAAAAGCTTTTTTAATAAAGCATTTATAATAACAACAAGAAACCTGGGGACAGGGATAAAGCAGGGGAAGCCAGGGGTAGTGTGAGTCCACCAATCCCAACCCTGAGGTTCCTGCCAGAAGGTGTCACATGGGCTCTAAGCTTCCTAGCAGACAAAAACAAAACAAAACAAAACAAAAACACACAAAAAACGCAGTAAGGATCATAAATAACATATGGGATAGAACTGAGGGCCCAGAAATGCACCCATACATCTATGGTCAACTGATGCCTGACAATGGTGCTAAGACAATTCAATGGGGAAAGAACAGTCTGTTCAACAAAAGATGCTGGGACAACTGGACGACCACAGACAAATGAATGAAGTTGGACCTCTTCTTCACAACATACACAAAAATTAACTCAAAATGGATCATAAATCTAAAACTAAGAGCTAAAACTATAACACTCAGGGGGGAAAAAAGAAGTAGATCTTCATACCTTTAGATTAGGCAATGATCTCTTAGATATGACACCAACAGCACAAGCATCAACAACAACAAAAATGTTAAGTTGAATTACATGAAAATTAAAATCTTCTGTGCATAAGGACACTATCAAGAAAGTGAAAAGACAGCCCGCAGAATGGGAGAAAATTTTTGCAAATTATATATCTGATAAGAGACTTACATCTAGAATATATAAAAAAACTATAACAACTCCTTAACAAAAAATTGCAAAATGGGCAAAAGATCTAAACAGACATTTCTTCAAATAAGATATTTAAGTGTCATATAAACACATAAAAAGATAGTAACACCATTAGCCTTCAGAGAAATGTAAATCAAAACCACAATAAGATACCACTTGGCCAGAATAAAAAATTCAGATACTAACAAATGTTGGTGAGGATACTAAAGAAAATGTAAAATAGTTCAGCCACTTTTGAAAACGGTCTGAAATTTCCTCAAAAAGTTATAAACAGAGTTACCATTTGGCCCAGCAATTTCACTTGGCATTTACATAAGTGAAATCAGGTATAAATCCATACAAAACCTGCAAACAATTATTCAGGGCAGCATTATTCATAATAGCCAAAAAGGGGAAACAATCCAAATATTCATCAACTAGTAAGTCAATTAAAAATGTGGTATTATCCATTGAATAGAATTCATGCAGCAATAAAAAGGAACAAAGTACTGACACATGCTACAACATGGATGAACCTTGAAAACATGAGGCTAAGTGAAAGAAGCCAGTCACAGAAAACCACATATCATATAAGTCCACTTAAATGAAATGTCCAGACTAGGTAAATCTAGAGAGACAAATAGATTAGTGGTTCCCTAAGGCTGAGGAGGATGGGAAGTTTGGGAGTAATTGCTAAAGGGTATGGAGTTTCTTCTTGGGGTGATGAAATGTTCTAAAATTCATTATGCCGACTGCAACACTCTGCAAATATACTTTAAAAAACCATTGAATTGTCCCCAGAAAATGAAACGAAAGAAAGTGGTAAGATCACTGACACAGAATACAATCTCCACAAAATAAAATCAAAGCAGCTGTTCCAAAGAACCACAGTTGCTATTGTTATTAAATTCAAGGGAACTTTATCTCAGTGGTCCTCATTAAAAGAGGGGCAACCCTCTGGTACAGAGGACACCATCCTCAGCAATGCAGCTGCAATAAATTCAATAATATGAGCAAGTCCCTTAGGAGATTTTTAAATAATCTTTCATGGTAAGCTAATGGCCAGAAGTCAAAGCTCAGTAAAATAAAAAGTTCCACAGGGAGCTATAACACCGTCTTAGATATGCAGCACTCTGACAGTTAAGCTTAGTCCAAAGATTAAAATCAGAATATAAAAAAGAATGTATAGGCCATTTATTGTTCAGGCAATCCTCCCTGGATATTATTTTCTGCAACTCACTTTGAGTTATGCTCTCAAAATACCTTGAGTATTAACTTCTAGGTGATTACTTCTTCATCTGCTATTCATTAAAGGCAGATCCAGGCTACACTACCCTCTATTCTCTCACCCCACTTACCCTCCACAGTAATCCCATTCACTTCCATGGCCTCAAGTGCTGATTCATTCAATTAACATGTTCACTGAGCACCTGACATGTAGCAGGCACTGTAGTGGGCATATGGGAAACATCAATGAGCAAAAGGAATAAAGATCCCTGGCCTGGTTACCCTCTAGCTGGGGAAGGGAGGGTCAATGCACGTAATAAGTAAATGGTTATTTTAGAAGGTGATATGCATTACAGTAAGGTTTTGTTTGTTTATTCTGTTTTGTTTTGGAAAGCAGGAGGAGAGGAGGAAAATGAAAGAGTCAAGAGAAAGGAACTAGAGGAGTACAGAAACCAAGAGACCTGATTTCAAGTGGCCTCTTTTACTTCTTAGAGAGCGAGAGTCACTGGCCTGGAGGCTGGCAGAACAAAAGAGAAGTATACTATTTCTTCATGTTTTGATGTTTTTACAAAGAAAAGAAAAAAAGGATTCTGGTGAAACTTCAGGAGGCAGGAGTGAGCAGAATAACCCGTCTCCCCTCGTCTATGGACACAGCACCTGGCTAACGGGACCAACCTGAGGGAGAGGGTGAGCTCCAGGCAGCAGCAGTAAGAAGGGCTATTGGTAGACAGACACAGAACAGCAAAAAGCACTAACACAAGTTGAATATCAGAAAATCAGAGCTCTAATTTTGTCCCAACCCTATTTTAACTTGCTGCTAACTGTGAACAAGTCACATAATCTCTCTGGAATCAGACAGGCTTACACCCTTTCCGTTTCCATCTCGCCCATCACACCTGGTTCTGCATCCTCGGCTCCTTATTTTTAGAAATCTATTTTAGCATATATTCTGAGTTACATGTTCTCTGTTCTTCCCACATTCCTCAGTCCCTCAACCACCTTATGACAGATTGCCTAACAACCAAATAGTGTTGAAGTATACCTATTTTTATATGAAAATATATGTATAACATCATATTAAAAATGTGAAATCTCAAAAATCCTAATACAACGCTGTTTTGCATATTATCTGCCAAGGTTTTTGAAATGACGCTTTTTAAAATATCTCTACTGCAAGTAAACAGTATTTTCTGGTAACAGCTCATCCACATTTCATTGCCTTCTATAGAGCAGGGACCACCGATGGGAAAAAAATGTCTCATCTCTGACCTGGAGGTAACGGCTTACCTACAAGAAGCCTTCTGAGTAGCATAGATGAATTCACACTTTCCATGGATGCAGTAACCATTGAGGTTTTCAGGGCAAGGCATGTGGTTTCCAATATAAACATCTTCTCTTTGATCACTAGCATCTTAAAAGAGCATAAACCAGGTCAATAAATAATGAAAAGCAAATTGAGAAATATGGACTTTTCAAGGGTTCTGAGACAATAAGTAAATTCACCCCTTGCTGGGTACTTTGGAAAGGAGATTTATCAAGTAGCAGGCTGGATAAGAATCAAGGTCACATAATGCCAGAAACACAGCAGGTTCAAACTCAAAGCATATGAAAGTACTTGCAGGATGTGACCGCTATGAGACCCTGTTATTTAAAAACAATCTGCCAAAATAACGCACACAACTAAACATCTTTGTTAAAGACATAAATGTGATTTCTATGAGAAAGCTCATCTCTGTGACAGAGAGATGCTGTATTTACCATTGGCTTTTGGAGAATCAGCTTATTCTAATCATTCACTTGGGGGCTATGAAATTGAGGCCAAGGAACACTGGAATGGCAGAAAGTTATGGGATGCTGAAATTTTAAGGTGAAAGGTTTATTTCTGGAATGAACACTAACAAGCATACTGATTTTTTTCCAAATGGAAATACTTTTGCTATTCTTTTTACACAGCATATGTTATAGTTATATGTATATGTTAATGTAAAAAATGTCAAATAATATAGAGGACAAAAAATATTTAATCACCTGAGATCCCTCTATCTACAGAAAACTATTGTAAACAGCTGTTCAGACTTAGGTATACTGATTTGAACTGAACTGAGCTGAAGCGAAGAAAATGGAAGTGTGCTGAGTAATTCCACTGTCAGAAATGGGGAAACAGTCAGGAAGGGAAAACAGAAAGAGGCAGAACAGATGAAGACATAGGGACCCAGTCTTCAAAATCAATCATATTCATTCATCCATTCTCTCTCTCTCTCTCTCTCTCTCTCTCTCTCTCTCTCTCTTTTTTTAACCAGAAAACGACACCTTTAATTTTCAGTGAACTGCTACATCATGGGGAGTTTTTTGTCTAAAGTTTTACACATGTCTCCTTTTCCCCCGATTGTCAAAATTTTTTGAGTGTCTTTGATATAATGGTGGACAAAGGGGCACTGGCCCCATTCTCTGGGGTCAGGGAGCTCGCACAGGTTTTGGAATGGATTTTTGTACTTTTTTTCTGGCACATTAATCCTCAATTCTATGAACCCAGAGTTCCCCAATGTGTACAGGCCTGTCAATTTCCCATTTCCTGTCGTTTCTTTCGACAGTTCCAGCTTACAGATTCTGTGTATTATTAGCTGTGTGACCTTGAGCATACTGCTCTCTGTAAGCTTGACATTGCATAACTGCAAAATCAGAATCATAATAGGGCCTATACATCATGTGGTTTCAAGGACTACGTGAGATAATTACTGCATGTACAAGACACTAAAACAACCAGCTAGCACCCCATGTAACAGCAAAGGCTTATCTCCCCCAAATACAAATAAAGATGCTAATATCATTTGAAGAATGTTAATGGAAACAAAAAGGAGTAAAATAGGAGGCTGTGTGTGTGTGT